CAAAACAGGGGGTGATGCTTGTGGAAACTCTGGAGAGTTTTTAAATTTCACAAGAGTCGTTCATCATACATTGCTAGACTGGTGTTTGCTTTGAAAAACATTCACATCTAATGGGTTGTTCTTCTCCCCCTTCAAGGCTTGGCTGTCTCTTCCTATTAAAGCCCCCCCTAGCCCCTCTTGCTTGTACGTTTATGTATAATACAAAAACAAAACAAAACACATTATGTTGACCTGAGCAGCTTTTGGCAATTATAGAACCTGGAACAGACAACTTGCTCCTATAACATCTCTAATGATAAACCACAGAACGAAAGTTGTGGTGAAACAATCGCAGGAAACAGGCAGAGGAAAACGGCCGCTGCACAAGCGTGAAGGATTGAAAGCGTGGGCAGGTGTTGAGGGGGGAGCAGCATAATCTTGGAAAACAGTGCGTGAACTGTTATCTTTGGAGAAGCAAGGGACCACTTTGAGGCTGCCACCATCACATTAGCTGCCGCTCAGAATGACACATTCCTATTGACATCCCTTTTAAAAGACACCAAGAACCAGATATATTGTCTGTCCTAGTACATTATGGATTATGGCCCTTGCGTCTTATTCATCCTAATGAGTTTGAGCAACAAGAATATTGCTAGACAGAATGATTATGCTTATTGTTGTTTTATGCTGTGAATTATTGCTCTGAGGGAATATGAGGAACTCTTCCTTTTCCCTTCTTCCCCAATATAATTATGGAAATATTTCTCCCCGCATCCCTATAATGGTGCTTCCTTCCAATATCTGTTCTTCTCGAAACAAAAATACAAATAAACTCCTGGCTTTACCCATCCCTCTTCCTCACTCCCTACAGAAATTAAGCCTAAGCAGGTCAGGCTCATTTAGTAACTGGACGGGGGACCAACAAGGAATATCAGGTGCTGAAGGCTTCGTTTCAGAGGAAGGTAATGGCAAAACATCTCCAAGTATTCTTTGCCTAAGAAACCCCTATGAAATTCATGGGAACATCATACATCAACAGGCAACTTGAAGGTACACACACACACATGCAACTGTAGCATGGGAAAGAAGAAGGTGCCTCCACAACTAGTTTGCACCTTCTGTTGGTGTAACCATTGCTTCTCCCCTGGGGTTACTTGAAGGAAAGTAACTCCCAGTCCCCAATGGCATTCCTCACCTTCTATGCAACTCCTATGTATGTAAATGTGCATGTTTGTGGTGCCACAGGGACTGCATATTTTCTATTAGTAACAAACCCTGGGTAGGTGGGGGGAATCTACAGTAAGTGTTGTGATGAAAACAACACTAGACTCTCCCAGTATTTTCATGACAAGCCATCATGCTTTCATGGATTGTGGCCCACTTTACCAAATGCTCGAGTTGATATTGTCAGTTGGTATCTGACTATCCCTTTGCTGACTAAAGACACCAACTCATGGATTGGATGAGTTGTGCTCTATGCCATGCATTCTGCAATGTTTCCTTATTGGCAAGTATTCCCCAATGTTCCTCTATAGGCAAGTAATTCCCCTATGTATCCTTATAGGCAAGCATTCCAAAATGTTTCCTTATGGGCAAGCATTCCCCAGTGCATCCCTATGGGCAATCATTCTGCAATGTATCCCTATGGGCAAGCATTCTACAATGTTTCTCTATGGGCAAGCATTCCACAATGTTTCCTTATGCGCAAGCATTCCCCAATGTATCCCTATGGGCAAGCATTCCACAATGTTCCCTTATGGGCAAGTAATTCCCCAGCGTATCCCTATGGGCAAGCATTCCCCATTGTTTCCTTATGGGCAAGCATTCCCCAATCTATCCCTATGGGCAAGCATTCCACAATGTTTCCTTATGCGCAATCATTCCCCAATGTATCCCTATGGGCAAGCATTCCGCAACGTTTCCTTATGGGCAAATATTCCCCAATGTGTTCCTATGGGCAAGCATTCCGCAATGTATCCCTACGGGCAATCATTCTGCAATGTATCCCTATGAGCAAGCATTCCCCAACACATCCCTATGGGCAAGCATTCCGCAATGTATCCCTATGGACAATCATTCTGCAATGTATTCCTATGGGCAAACATTCCCCAACACATCCCTATGGGCAAGCATTCCGCAATGTTTCCTTGTGGGCAAGTAATTCCCCAGCGTATCCCTATGGGGCAAGTACGGTGTCCCTATGGGCAAGGGTTGCCATCGGTTTTAGTATGTGCCCCCCAGCCAGCCCTCCGAAGGGAAGGGAAGGGAAAGGGGTCCCTCTGCCCTCCGCGATCCCTTGCCCAGATGCCCTGACCTGCCAGGCTGTTGTAGCAGTCCACCTCGACGCTCTCCAGGAGCTGCTTCTGGGCCTGGGTCAGCCTGGGGGTGGCCCTGCCTGGGCGAGGACTGGGCTCCCCTTCTTCCTCTTCCTCTTCCCCTTCCCCTTCCTCTTCCTCTTCCTCTTCCTCCTGGGCCAGGAGGAGCCCCTTCATCTCCAGAAGCGCCCGGTGGTACTTGCCGATGGCTTCGCGGAATTTCTTCTCCTTGTAGCACTGCGCTCCTTGGCTCTTGAAGTCCAGCGCCCGGCGGAGCAGCTCCGGAGGAGGCTCCAAGGAGGAAGAGGAGGAAGGGGAAGGGGAAGAAGGGGAAGGGGAAGGGGAAGGGGAAGGGCGGCCGGGGGCAGGCACCCGCCGGGAGAGACCCTCCGCCGGACCGCAGCCGGACCCTGCCAGCCTCTGCCCATCCATGCCAGCCAGCCCCGGTGCCAGGGCGGCAGTGGAGGAAGAGGAAGAGGAAGAGGAAGAGGAGGAGGAGGAGGAGGCAAGGGGCACTGAGCCACTGGAGGAGGAGGAAGAGGAGGAAGAAGAGGAGGAGGAGGAGGAGGAGGAGGAGGAGGCATCATCATCACAAGGTGGCAGAGCCGCCTCCTCTTTCTCCTCCTCCTCCTTGCTCAGACTCCTTGCCCTGGGCTCCTCCTTTGGGTGCCCATCATCCCCATCCCCATCCCCATCTCCATCTCCATCTCCATCTCCAGGCCCCTACGTCCTCCTTTTCCAGGACACGTCCTCTATTTCAGCCTTCTTCTCCCCAGGAGGGATTCCAAAAAGGTCCTCCATTTGGAGCAGGGCTAAGAAACAGGGGTTTGTATTTGTAGGAGTCTTTTTGTTTGTTTGTTTGTTTGTTTGTTTTGGCTCAGGGTGACCAGACCTGGTCCTCCTTTTCCAGGACACGTCCTCCAGTTCAGCCTTCTTCTCCCCAGGAGGGATTCCAAAATCTCCTCCCTTTGGAGCAGGACTCAGAAGCAGGGATTTGTATTTGTAGGAGTCTTCTTTTTTTTTGGCTCAGGGTGACCAGGCTTGGTCCTCCTTTTCCAGGACACATCCTCCATTTCAGCCTTCTTCTCCCCATCTCCTGCCTGTCCTCACTACTGAAAGAGAATTGCTGATGTGCATCAACCTAAGAAGACGCTCCTTGTTTTCGGAACAGGAAAGAGCCAGCAGTCATGGATGCTGAGACATCATCTGAAGTGTCCCACACTCTGAAATTCTGTTTGGGAAGAGCACACTTCTCCCTAACAACGATTCCCAGGCTCTCTTTACCTCTCAAGTGGACATTGCACTCTGGCTGGCTTGTTGCTGTTGTGTGCCTTCAGGTTGTTTCCAACTTACGGCAACGGTGGACCTGTAATGTGGTTTTCTTGGCAAGATTTGTTCAGGGAAGGTTTTCCATTGCCATCCTCTGAGGCTGACAGCATGTGACTTGTCTAAGGACGTTATCACACGGGGGAAATCTGCTGGTTAATCCACACAAATCCCAAACAGAAACTGGATTTGTGCCTCACCATTTCACACGATGTCGCACAGAAACTGGACAGAAACTGGTATTATTTGAGATCTTTTGAAATTCGGTAGTTTTGAGGAAATGCATTTGCGAAATTACAGTAATTTCGCATTTACCGTAATGTGAAAAGCAAATGCGCATTTGGGAGCATTTCCCTGCTTTTTCCCATGGTTCCACGATGAGCATTCCTCTATCTGCGCA